ACTTTGCTTACATGATGGAATATCATACATCTCACAAGTTATTTTGCCAAAAAAACACATGAAACCAAATTCAAGGTTATTTGGGCTAGAAGTGGGTTACACATAGCCGGACTATTTCGGGTCTATACTTAACCGAGACGTTGAAATGACGGCTATTGCTTGCTGGGTTATGACTGGTTTTGTGGTCCAGGGTCACATTTCAAGACATAAAAGTAAATAAATAAATAAAGAATTTTTATCACCAGAGTGAATGTGGATAACTTTTAAACCGTTGTGAGAGGGGTAACTGATTTTGGTAACTTATAATGTGTGATTTGGTGACCAGTGATCTGTAATGGATCAGTGTTGGTGACCCTGCTGAATATCTGCAGTTGTTCACATCAAAACAACATGCTTTCTGAGATACTAAATGAATACATTTAGACATCACCACCAGTGTGAATTTTTGGTAACATTTAAGCCATTGTGTGTGAAATGGAGAGTGGTGAAAAACTTCAACAACCTATAATGCTTCCTTGACAGATTTGGTGACCATGTTGTAAATCTGCAGATATTCACATCAGAGCAATATGCTCTCTGGGAAATAAAATAAGTTTAGACATCACCAATTTGGGTAACATTTAAGCCACTGTGTGTGAAATAGTGAGGGGTAAAGGATTTCGGTAACCTATAATGCTGCCTTGTCGGGTTTGATGACCTTGCTGTGTATCTGCAGCTTGTCACATCAGACCGAAATGCTTTCAGAGGTATGAAACAGAGGAGACGTTACCTGAATGTAGGTAAGGTCTAGAATTAGAGTAACATTAAGGCCACTGTGAAATAGAGAAGGGCGTTCAGTGAACTTGCTGTATATCTGCAGCTGCTCAAATCAGAGCAATATGCTTTCTGGGATATAAAACAAAGACATTTAGACATCACAAGTATGAATTTCCATAACATTAAAGCTGTTGTGTGTAAAATGGGGGGAGGGGGACGGGAATTTCAGGGTACCTCTGATAACCGATAGGTCACAGGTTTTTTTTTTTTTTGCACAATACTGCCACTCTCCTAAATGTACAAACAACTGAATTGAATCACAAAATTAACCAAATATCAGTTGTTTAAATTTAAGTGTATATAAATTTGTTTAATTCACTTTTTTATGAAAGACAAAAAAAAATTAAAAATTCATAGTTGTCCAATTTGGTGTATGTTCCTGCTGCCAAATCTATGCCATTTCAGATTAGCATGGCCATGCTGTTTTTTGGAACATCATCTACATCAGCTCAGAGCTAATGACCATAAATCTTTGACATGGTTCATGTTAGCTCATAACAGAGTGCAATTTAATGATCATAATCCATCAGGACAGTTTTAAACGTGTCACAGTGCTTAAAATAGACCCTCACAAAGAATGAAATACATCTTTACATACTTTTTGTAAATGACCACACAGACAACAATCAAAGTTTTGTGCAGATGATTTGTATTCCTTATAGAATCTTATGTTTAATAAGAGCATTCACAATAGATTTTACATGATCTTGTCAGTTAGATATTGAAGTAAGTTCATTTCTATATAATGTTGTCATACAAATGATAAAGTGTTCAGAATGACAAAAACTCTTACAACAATAATATTTCATGACAAATATTAATTATTAGTTGCCTTTGCCTGCATGACCATGCAATGTAATTATACCTGATGGCCAACTTGCCAAACTAAATTTAGATTTTTTTTTTTTATCTGATAGTAGAGGTTGAGCTATATTTCTCCAGCTGCGCTCTCTTTTTGATTTACAGTCTTTCACACATAAAAGCTCTTGTTCATATTGGCTGGATCCCATTGTTTGTATTTCCCAGCCGTTTTGATTCAATGCTTTAATCCCTTTTCCTTCTTAGAAACATGACAGTGAGTCATTGTGCTTTTGAAGATCTGGGAATTTTCCATATAGTATTTGTACCAGTATGCTCCTCGTACACACCCATTACTGTTAAATTACTTAACAGTCCTTCAGCATATTCAGACAATTCTGTTTAGCTTCAGGGTAACATAATTTCTTGAAGAATAGGTACACAGGTGACTGATGGCACAATCTGAGCAGAGTCACATTGACATAGAAAGGCAAACTTGAACATGTTTTGAGTCGCCTACTGAATTTAAAAGAGCTGCTAGACGCTGTTATTATACAAAGCTAAAATGGCTGTATGCAAACTGTAGGCAAAGTCTGGAAGGCAAGATATGTACTTTGAAGAGATTATCATGGTTTGCATGAATGAATAAAGTTCAGGCAGTGTCTTGCCCAAAATACACAATCCTTTGGGAAGCATGTTCTGCAGGTGTGTGCGATAAAAGGAAGGGATGAAAACAAGAGTCTGTGGCATATGTAAATGACGCTTGTGATTTCTTGATCTTTAGGTTGTTAAACATTTATTATAATCATTGAGCAAACATTTTACATTACTTCAAAGAAGTGTTTAAGTAAATCATATTCATATTTGCAAAGGCGGCTACAGAGGTGAGTCATGTTCACTTGAATAATCAGTATTACATTATGAATTAGCTAAGGAGGAGGCCTGACCATTTAAAATTGAAAATAAATGAGTTTTAAAGCAACAAGATGCATCTAGTAGAGTTGTAAATGGGACAGAAATTAGTCAGAAAACCTCAAGTATTAACTGCATCTAATATGTTTAAATTAATCAGCAGTAAGCTACGAAATCATATTCTAACCAAAGAGGAGATTTTTTAACAAGATTTTCAGCTCCTCAGTAATAACGGAATGTGTAATTCAGTTCCCACATGTCTAATTCTCAAATACACACCCTGTTTTTAGCAGCATGAGACCCAAATTACCTGGGGCAGGTTACACCAAATTACAGGTTACAATTTATAACATCTAGTTAGTCGTAAATCATTCCAACATTAGAATTTACAGCCTACTAAATATTTGAGTGTTGCACCATTAAACTTAGTTGAAGTGTGACTCCGCATAGAATCTTCCATCCAGGAGTAAAGGCTGGAATAAAATGGCAAACTGATCAATCGATGATCAATAAACTCATGTCAGACTTCAATCATGTTGTTCAGTCCAGGTTTCAATGCTAAAAATATAAATAAAAAAACATTTTTTTTAGATTTTTTTGAAAATAAAAAAACGGCAATTTAAAATAGCCGTTTAACCTTTTTTAATATATTTAGAAATGTAATTCATTCTGGCAAATCTGAATTTTCAGCAGCCATTACTCCAGTTTTCATAAATCCTTCATACATTTTTTTCCAATATGCTGATTTGGTGGTCAAGAAACATTGCTTATTATTAACAATGTTGTGCTGCTTAATTTTTTGTGCAAACTGTGCTACATGTTTTTCCGGATTTTTTGTTGAATAGAAAGTTAAAAAAAACAGCATTTATTTGAAATAGAAAAATGTGATACCATTATAAATGTTTTATTGTCCCTTTTGAATTTAATGTGTCCTTTTTTGCTGGATAAAGGCATTTGCATAAAAGCAAATTCAAGATGTATATTTTGGCAGTGTGTCTGTGTATGCATGTCTTCCCTGGCAACCAAATCCTTGTCACCACAGGTTTTTAGCCTCAGCCTCATTTTTTTGCTGTTGTGTTTGTTCTCAGTATGGAATCGTCCTGGACGCTGGATCCTCTCATACGGCCATGTTCATCTACAAATGGCCAGCAGACAAGCAGAACGGTACCGGCATAGTCAGTCAACACAGCGAGTGTCATGCCAAGGGTGAGTATTTAATGATAAATGGCTTATGATGTTCCTCATTTGAAAGTCTCTTGAATAAAAACGTCTGTTATCAGACTAAATGTAAATGTCAGGCGATAAGACTGAAAGAAAAAGAACAGTCCAACAGGGATGTGAGACTGCTAAAACCTCGTGCAATACTGTAGCTTAAAATTGTTTCTGTAGCTTAGAAACAATTTACTCAAATCTTTATTTTAAAATGTATCACACTTCTCAAAAGTCACTCACAGAACAGAATTACAAAATCCAAACGACAACGTCAGATGTTTTACTTCATTATATGAATGTATTGTAATGAATTAGTTCTTGATATTTTTTCACTGCTTGAACATTTGCATTGAAGTTCATTTGGACTGAGATATGGCATTCTTAAGCAGAGTGCTGAATTGCAACACATTGTTGCCCGCTTCCTTTTTTTGTGGTGGTGCCTTAAGTTTGCCCTTTTAAAATTTCATCACTCTGGTTCAGTCCTTCCACTCTTCGTTAGGGATCTGGCATTCACAGAATTGGGATCTTGAACTCCTAGTACCCCTCAAATATTGCTGAGTGGCAATGTTCTACGGAAACATCTGGAATAGTCACCTAAAAACATGTCTGGTTGCATTTATGGTAGTCAAGTGTCTGTGGCATTCCAGGCAGTGAAATAGGAACTGATAGTTCTTGCCCATGTATGTCCATGCAGAGTTCATAAGATATAAAGAGGAATTGTGTTATTCGTTTCAGTTGTCTGATGAACTGACCTCTCTCTTCCTCTCTCACTTTCTCTAATCAGGAGGCGGGATCTCCAGTTATGCTGGCAACAAAGGAGGAGCAGCCAGTAGTCTTGAGGAATGCATGGAACAAGCCATGCAGGAGATCCCAAAGTCAAGACACAAACTCACCCCTTTGTATCTCGGGGCCACAGCAGGCATGAGACTACTGAAGTGAGTCAGAAAGCTCACTGCTTTGTGACTAAAGCTGCTTTTATAACCACAGATGACAAATTTATCATTATCCTATATAACTTACCTCTTATAACTTGCAATACACACTACTGTTTGTTTGGGATCAGTAAAATTATTATTATTTTTTTAAAACATTAAAACATTTGATCAGCAAAGATGCATAAAATTGGTCAAAAGTGACAGAAAAGACAGTTGTAATGTTACAAATGGTTTAGTTTCATGTAAATGCTGTTCTTTGAACTTTCTATCCATCAAAGAATCCTGAAAAAAAAGTATATAAAGAGAGAAGAGATTGTATTAAAAAATAAAATATTATTATTAAAAAAAATGCATTTGTGCCCTATCACACAGTATTTCTAAACCCAAAGAGTCAGATGAGGTTTTGAAGGAAGTGGCAGGCAAACTGAAGACCTACCCATTCAGCTTCAAAGGGGCCACCATCTTAAGTGGACAAGAAGAGGGAGCTTATGGATGGGTCACAGTCAACTACCTGCTTGAGAATTACATCAAAGTATAGTATATTGTTAGCCATACTGTGTATCTCACAACATCTGAATGTCATTTACTAAATGTGTTACTGGCCATTACCCTACATTTTTCTCTTTCATGTCTCTAGTATGGTTTTGTGGGTCAATGGCTGTCTCCAGGCAGAGACACGGTTGGTGCTCTAGACTTTGGTGGAGCTTCTACTCAGATTACCTTTGAAACTAAACAGATGGTGGAGAACAAGGACAATCTGATGAAACTGCGGCTGTACGGACGAGACTATCAGATTTACACTCAGAGCTTTCTGTGTTATGGGAGAGACCAGGTGTTACTCAGACTGCTGGCACTTCTGATGAAGGTTAAGTGCAAACCTTTAGTCTAAATGATCATCAGACAAGCTGATTAACTTGATTGTATAACTTCTGATGTTTTCTCTTTATATCGTATAGACTCAGGGTTCAGACCGCTCCATAGTTCACCCCTGCTATCCTGCAGGTTACAGTGACTCCATAAAGCTGAGCAGTGTGTTTGATACTCCATGCAATAAAAGACAAACTCCGTATAAACCTGATGACGACCTGCAAATCAAAGGCACAGGAAACTACGATCAATGCCTGGGAAACGTTTCTCGTCTCTTCTCTTTTAACAACTGTTCTTATTCCAGATGCTCTTTTGATGGAGTCTTCCAGCCCAACATTACTGGAAACTTTATGGTACAAGTTTCTAGAGTGCTTAATATGGAACATTTAAACCTTGTGCATTCAGTTGATTTTTTTTCATATATTTGATCAACCAGCATAACATGCTATTTGTTCCTTCATCTCTCATGCCTTTGGCAACATTAATGTCTTTACTGGTTATGTTAACATGTAAGCAGTTATTAAGTGAGACAGCTCAAAGCATTAAAATAAATAATGAATTAATTTTCTGGGCACAGTGTCATGATTGCATGTGTCACTATTATGATAATGCAATCTATCTCTCTCCATCACCATTTTTTCTTTCTCTGGCACAGGCATTTTCTGCATTTTTCTACACCCATTCCTTTCTTCAGGAAGCAACAGGCATCAGCATCACGTCCCCAGAACATTTAGAGGACGCTACCCATGTTGTCTGCAACATGAGCTTTCAGGAGGTACTGCCCCGCTGAGCTTATTTTGAGCCCTGCTATTCTGAGATGACTTTCCCCATATCTCAGCAATCGACCAATGATTGAGAGTCTCAGGTTCTCAGATTAAGAGAACTTACTTTATCTTATATGAAGACGTTATTTTATATGTACACTGTCTTATTGTTTTCAAATGAAGCAATATTGAATATTTAACAGTTATTTATTTAGCCTATTAAATGACTTTCAGATATTCCTCTCAACTTTCTCTTTCATTTTCTTTGCCCTAGATCACAAATAAAGTTCAGGGTCAGGAAAGCCGTTTGAAGGACTACTGCACAGTTTCTGCCTTTGTGCAGGTGCTCCTGGTCAATGGATATGGCTTTGATTTTTTCTCCTTCCCGCACATCTCCTTCCAGAAGAAGGTAGTTAGACCTATTTGCAAAAACTGACTCTATTTACCTCCTTAATGCACGTTCCCTGTTTATAGGCATACAAATTTTCATTTTGATATCACCAAGCTTTCTAATTTTTCAACCCCTTCCTTCCAAACATTTGTCACATAGAGAACACTTTTCACTGCCTAGTCAATTTCACATGAATAAACTCAAGTACTAGCCTAGGCCTATATTTCATTTTATTCTTAATTTAAAAAAAGAATATTCATCACATTACAGGAGTAAAATGGATTGTAATAGCTTTTTGTGTTGATTTAAAGGAATAGTTCACCAAAAAATTAAAATTTGCTGAAAATTTACTCACTCTCAGGCCATCCTAGAATTATTTTGTTTCTTCATCAGAACAGATTTGAAATAATTTAGCATTACATCACTTGCTCACCAATGGATCCTCTGCAGTGAATGGGTGCCATCAGAATGAGATTTGGTAATAAAAACACGCAGCTTTTCACTTCACTGGACATTAATTGATAGATTATTGTAATGCTTTTATCGGCTGTTTGAGATGGTACCCAATCACTACAGAGGATCCATTGGTGAGCAAGTGATGTAATGCTAAATTCTTCCATTCGTTCGGATGAAGAAACAAACTCATCTACATCTTGGATGGCCTGAGGGTGAGAAATGTTTTGAGGGTGAGTAGTAGTTTCAGTAAATGTTTATTTTTTTGTGAACTTTTCCCTAAAGCTTGGTGAATAAGTGGACCCTTCTAGGTCAAAAAAAAAAAAGTTAACATGTTGCTTTGGTTTGCAGGCGGGAGACACATCTGTTGGCTGGTCCCTTGGCTTCATGCTAAGCCTAAGTAACCTGCTGCCTGCTGAAGATGTTTTACTGAGGAAATCACTGCGCTCAGGCGCCTGGAGTGCTCTGATCATCCTCTTTTGCTTCCTTCTTATTGTGGCGCTATATTTTTTGTTGCGAGCCATCCGTAAGAAAGATACTGATAATGTCATTTAATGATGATAGAGTTATTTTGCTCCCTATGTACATTGTTATGCACTGTCCTTAGCAGGAATGCTTCTGTTTACAGTACATTGAAAACAACACGGATGCACAAAAGACTTTTTGTATCACATTTCATCAAACCTATCTCATTTCAATCACCAATTTCTTATCAAGCACATTTTATATAAATGATCATTTTAGAAGACATTGTACAACAGGAGACTTAATTTTAGAAGTGTTAAGTCTAATTCATCAAGGACAATCATGTCAAGATGTCTGTCTTTTCATAATGCTGAATGTATGTTTGTTATGTATACTACGCTGTGCCTTAATATCATATTATGTATTCTTGTTTTGAAAGATTTTTCTAGATTTATTTGTGTGCTATGCAATGTTCTGTAAACCAAAGTCAAAAGCACTGAAAACATTCAAAATGGAAAATCTTGAAAATGTAGCTATGCAAATAGAAGAATGTATTTGATTTTGAAATGGTATTGCCTGCTATTTCTGCTGAATCAGGAAAGCTTTTGTAATATTAAATAAGTTAAAGTGTTTACTACTTTTTCTGTATTTTGTAGATGTAATAAAACACTGAATGTGTTTGGCCTTTAGTCCTTGTATTAATGACGCTGATACACAGATTTTTGTCCAATTAAATGCTCTCAAGAATGAGAATGTCCCTCCACCCAGGGCCGTCCTTAGCTGACACGGGGCCCGGTGCGAGGTAGGGAGCGGGGTCCTCCTCGATCCATTCACCGCGGGGCCCCCTCAAGCACAGGGCCCGATGCGACCACACCAGTTGCACCCCACTAAGGACGGCCCTGCCTCCACCTAACGCCACCTGCACACAACTAGCAAGCAGCCAATCATGTTCAAGTCTGATGTAACCGCAGACTATTGACTGTTTAAAGACTATTGACTGTTTAAAAAGAAGAGCCCTTAAATATGTCTTGCCTAAAATTCAGAAATATGTCAACACAGGACAGAATCTGTTCACTTTTACATATATTTATGTTTCCCCCAACACTTTTGGAATACAATCAATAGCTATCCGATATGTGGCTCTCCATTTTTAAATCATTCCTACTGAATATGTTCAATTTAGATGCATAGTGCTTTTCCAAATGCATATTGTCTATTGTTATTAATGAGGAACAACACGATTTTGTTTGCTCTAATGCCACCTAGTGTCAGATTGATGTTTGTTTAGATACCTGAGAAGTTTTGCGTCTTTGTACTTCACAGTCTCGGACCTCTAGACTTTTTAAGACACAAAAATAGTGATGTTTCTTTTGTTGACCCTTAAAAGTTTGCGTTTACTACTATGTAAATATATCTTGTTCCAGCACTGCACTACAACCAACTGTGTGGACCATTTAAAAGCCCTGACTGAGTTACCAAAGCTGAACATCAGCACACAGGCTACAGGTTTAACACAATCGAAAAGTATAAAGTCAGCAGTAAAAAGAAATCCACACTTTGACAGTCAGATGTTTCATATAAAGTTTACAATAACTTGATACAGATGGTTTGCATGCCCGAGCAGGTCTGACAGGTTGGTTTACTTTAGTGTTAACGTGTCTGTCAAAGTCAGTATTCTACAACATCCTGGCTACAGTCGACTATAGTCGATCAGCAAATGTCAATGTTTTTGTTTACAGTAGATTACAATGCAACTGCAAATATGTACCGCAATTGCAGCTCTGTTTATTTCATTTATAGGCATTCTTTTGCTCGTCGTCAACACTGAAGACATCAAAGGACATGCACAGCTCATGGTAATGACACTTTTGTTGTTCATAGGTGAAACAGGCTACAAATCTGACGAAGACGACACAAGGCTGTCCAGAGAGAGCGCTTTTATTGGATTTGACTATAGAAAAAAATCTGTCGAGAGGAAGATGAAGCTCTTTCTGGCATGTGGCAGGCAGCCATTGAATCTCAACTGCCAAATTTAATGACACTCCGACTGGCTGCTTTTGAATCTTGATTGCTGTTGCTCCTTCCATGAACAGATCAGAAACATTAAATAGATTCTTGTGAAAGAAATAAGAAAAAAATCTAATTGATTTGAAAGAACACTTAAAGTCCGTGTAAAGAGAATTGTTTCTAAACACATTATAAATGTTAGAAATGTATTGCAGAAACACATTACAAAGACTCCGAACTATGTAGTACTGAATTGTGGAGTTAAACCGTTAAAGGGGTCATATGATGCGATTTCAATTTTTCTTTGGAGTGTTACAAGCTCTTGGTGCATAAAGAAGATCTGTAAAGTTGCAAACACTAAAGTCTCAAAACCAATGAGATATTCTTTATAAAAGTTAAGAGTTAACCACGCCTACCTAAAACGGCTCGTTCTAACACGCCCCCACATACCTACGTCACGATCTGGGAAGATTTGCATAACGCCGCCCAAATGTTCACGCAAAGAAAGAAGGCGTAACTTTTATTCTCGAAACAATAATGTACAGTATGAGGAAAATAATTTGTTTTTTTTACTTTAAACCGCATAAACACATTTCATTACACCAAATACACAAAATAATGTTCTTTTTAGCAGCATCATATGACCCCTTTAAACAGTTTTTCACCAATTCTGTGTTCAGGATTTTGTGGGCGGGGCTAAAACGGTGGCTCGATGACGCAATGGAGCCACCGAGCATGGCCCCTCCCCTAACACTATAAGACGTGTGTTCGACTTGAAGCAGCACTGCGCAGATCGATCGGTGTGTGGACATTAAAGTACAGAGCTATAGAGAGCAGACGGACTCTGTTCCTCTTTCGGGCTTGAACTGATGGTAAAACTAATGACATTATTTACTGTCTTTACATTTATTTTGAAAGATGAAGCTCGCGATTATGGTAAGGGGCGTTACATTTCCGACGAGTGCTTGTGGTGTTCGGCCAATCAGAATGCACTGGGTCAGCTGGCCAATCAGAGCAGGCTGCGCTTGTCGGAAGGAGGGACTTTGTAGAAAACGAAGTGTTTGAGAGAGGCGGGGCATATAGGACCTACAATAATGTACAGTATTTGAAAAATTATGTGTTTTTGAACATTAAAGCATGTCAACATATTCTGATACACCAAATACACAAAATAATGATCTTTAAAAAAGCATAATATGACCCCTTTAAATAAGTTGCAGAGGAAGACAGACAGTTGAGATAGAGACGGCAGCTTTTCCGCGAGTGGGCGTGGTTTCAGCGCCGCCAGCGGGCACTCCCCCAGCGTCTGAGAGCAGAGAATACTGCTTATTTTTTCAAGATTTTGATAGCTTATTTTATTCACTTGGCGTTTTTTTTCGCATTCAAATTTGGCTGGGTGGTTAATAACACATTTTTCTGTGGTGTGATAAACTCAGAACACACATTTAATATTGACTTTACACGGACTTTAATTTATATTTTCATGCATTTATTTTAGTTATAATAAATAGGTGCAAAAAGTCAAATACAAGTGCCATCCATCACTAATTAAAAAGTCTGTGATTAGCTTTTTTTAGCCTTAGCTTTGATTCTGGCTTCTGTTTTGTGTTTGTTCTCAGTATGGAATAGTCCTGGACGCTGGATCCTCTCATACTTCTATGTTCATCTACAAATGGCCAGCAGACAAGCAGAACGGTACCGGCATAGTCAGTCAACACAACGAGTGTCATGTGAAGGGTGAGTAAGTATAGTGAAAAATAAATAAAATAAAAAATGCATAAAATCATCTATCTCAGTTTCACACTTATCATTCATCTAAATTTTCAAAGTATCTTTTTATTTATTATTTTTCTCTCTCCTACACAGGAGGCGGGATCTCCAGTTATGCTGGTAACAAAGGAGGAGCAGCTCTTAGTCTTGAGGAATGCATGGAACAAGCCATGCAGGAGATCCCAAAGTCAAGACACAAGCTCACCTCTGTGTATCTCGGGGCCACAGCGGGCATGAGACTACTGAAGTGAGTCACAAATGTCAGAAATATACACTTGTATATTCATTTTAGATGTTTATATTTAATATATATTAGATTTTTCTATTTCTAACTTTTCTCAATGCCCACTGTCACAACAACAAATTGTACAACAATGCTGTTTCACATCACATGTTTATACTCCGTAAAAGATTGTGCTGAATAGATCGGAAAGCTACATAATGAATCACAGATAACAAATATATGTTTTTGTCCTATCACACAGTATTTCTAAACCCAAAGAGTCAGATGAGGTTTTGAAGGAAGTGGCAGACAAACTGAAGACCTACCCATTCGGCTTCAAAGGGGCCACCATCTTAAGTGGACAAGAAGAGGGAGCTTATGGATGGGTCACAGTCAACTACCTGCTTGAGAAATTTATTACGGTAAGGGCTGAGGTTCTGTTTTGATGTTCAAAGATAAATATTTCAGAGAATATTACAGATGCCACTTGATTTTATGTATACTCTCTCTCTTTCTTATCCTTTATTTCTCTAGTATGGTTTTGTGGGTCAATGGCTGTCTCCAGGCAAAGACACGGCTGGTGCGCTAGACTTGGGTGGAGCTTCTACTCAGATCACCTTTGAAACTAAACAGACGGTGGAGAACAAGGACAATCTGATGAAACTGCGGCTGTACGGACGAGACTATCAGATTTACACTCAGAGCTTTCTGTGTTATGGGAGAGACCAGGTGTTACTCAGACTGCTGGCACTTCTGATGAAGGTTAAGTGCAAACCTTTAGTCTAAATGATCATCAGACAAGCTGATTAACTTGATTGTATAACTTCTGATGTTTTCTCTTTATATCGTATAGACTCAGGGTTCAGACCGCTCCATAGTTCACCCCTGCTATCCTGCAGGTTACAGTGACTCCATAAAGCTGAGCAGTGTGTTTGATACTCCATGCAATAAAAGACAAACTCCGTATAAACCTGATGACGACCTGCAAATCAAAGGCACAGGAAACTACGATCAATGCCTGGGAAACGTTTCTCGTCTCTTCTCTTTTAACAACTGTTCTTATTCCAGATGCTCTTTCGATGGAGCCTTCCAGCCCAACATTACTGGAAACTTTATGGTACGAGTTTCTAGAGTGCTTAATATGGAACATTTAAACCTTTGTGCATTCAGTTCCATTGTATTGGTTTAAATATGCTGTAATGACTAAAATAATAACGAAACCAAATGACGTTCGGTTCTAATAACGTTTGGTCT